GGCCTTGTACTAGGAAGACTCACGTGGCTGTCATTCTTTCATCCTGGAATGTGACGAAGGCCATGTCAAGACGCTTGAGAGCAATCCGGCTGCGTTCAGCATTAAACTCATCTGTCAGTTTCTCCTCTAGCTCCCCATAGTACTGCTCAGCATCCACCTAATCAAAAAGAAATAAGCTTACTTCTTTTTTTTTGTCATTAATTTTAAAGTGTCAGCTAGAATAAATGGGGTCAACAGACTTCCTATATTCTCCCAGAGGCAGCCTTCATTGATTGTCTTTCCAAATAATACATTGGGAAAGAATGTGAAAAGATGTTTGATGGTTTAATCCAAGCATTTCCATCAAGAGGATAAACAAATTATGCTTCTTCTGATGACAGAGTCTATGACCAGACCCGTAATAATATTAACAGCCAGAAAAATCTCTTGGCTGTTCCAGGAAGGTGTGTCAATGCAAGGGAGAGAGAGGAACTGCATCTTTCCAAACCTTTCTGACAGACACCACATGAAATAAAGCAGCAACAACCATATCAAGTAAGTGACAGCTCAGTAACAAGAAGAGATGCCAGATTATAATGTTCTCCCAATGGTACTAAGGGGAGCAGGCTTTCAGCAAAGACACAGAGCTGTGCCACCATCTTTAAAGCTTGTACTGAGCTGTGAATCTGCCCTACAACAAGGCAGAGAGGAAAATGTTATTTTAATAACCATAATCTATTCCTGACTTTAACATAAGCCTGAAACATAGGGCCACTTTAAAGTACCATATGTACCAGTACTGATCAAACCTTTTTCTCTTTTTGCTTTTTTTTCTACCAGGATATTCAAATAATTCCCTTTATATATTTGCTAAACAGATGAATAGTACTGCCATTCGAGTCCCCATCTTGGCCATCAGTCATTCCTTTTGGCCAACTCTCCAACTCTTTGGCCAAGTTTACTGTTATGGGGATAAAAGCAGGGAAGATCCTCTTCTCTGTAACTATCTCCAGTTGCTGGGCCATATTCACACAAATAGAAAACCTGACCCATCATGGTTTCTTTTCAGAGTGAAAAGTGACCTGTGTTTACTTGTATGTCCCTTGATAATGTTCTGAGGCGATAATCACCGAGCATGTAGGTCAGTGTTTCTCAAGCTTGGCGACTTGAATATGGGTGGATTCAACTCCCAGAATTGAAGTTCCCCCCCCATTGTCAGGTTTTCTGTTTGTATGAACATGGCCCAGGTTGAGAAACACTGACGTAGGTGATGAGAATGTGGTATAGCTAGGCTCTCCCTTTTTGAAACAACAAAAATCATTCAGAGCTTAATTGCTCTGTCCACTAAAATGAATGATCTAGAAGTCCAAAGTTGAAATCTTATCTTTGGCATGAGCTTAGCCTAGGCCAGGGGTAGGCAACCTTGGCTCTTTTATGACTCGTGGACTTCAACTCCCAGAATTCCTGAGTCAGCATCAGGAATTCTGGGAGTTGAAGTCCACGAGTCATAAAAGAGCCAAGGTTGCCTACCCCTGGCCTAGGTGAGTAGGATGGCAGAACTGGGCATTCAGTTCTCCTCTTGAGCTGGGCTATTATTTATTTTATGGTCAGTATGTGATATTGAAGGGAACCGTCTCTAGCCCAGGTCAATGATTGGTAGCATGTACACAACAATGAGGGGAACACAAAACCCAAAGTTCCCAGAGCTGGTTTTTTTACAATCAGTTAATATCTTGATATTCTTTGTACCTCTTCAAAGCCACAAATACGGCAGCAGAAAATTCGAGAACAAGGATGGATTTTGATCATAATTTTCCCCTCCTTTTGAGCCTTGGTTGTGAAGTAAAGCCTCCCTTTCATTGCCTTGCGCCTGGCAGGTATAAAATTAGGGGAAAAAATGTTAATGCAGCCATCCATTTCTTTATGACACTTTTCCAAATCTCGTATTTCATGTTCTTACAAATGAAAACTTCTGGCACTTTTGATTTGGAATGAAACTGTAAGAATATTTTCTAGGAACAATGGTGAAGACCAAATGGACCAAATCAAGTTGAATGAGGCTTCCATTAATCCTAGGGTGGATCTGGTGAGTCCTCTCTTTTGCTGACATGTAATTATACTGAAAATAATGTCTGGAGATATCATTCAGAAAATGGTGTGTTTCTTGATGGTATGAAAGCTGATGAATAATGCCAACTGGCAGGAAGGGCACCTATGATTAGAGTACCCTTCTGATGACCTGCAATTTGGTTGATTTTAAAAGGAAAGTAAGATAAATTCATGGACCTTCTCATTGGTTGTTGGTTCTGATGGTATTATTGGAAGACACTCTTGTAGTCACTTTAGATGGCTGCCATTTGTTAGGCATATGATTAGCCACTGTGAGGGCCAAATGCTGGGCATTTGATCTGATGATTCATTGTGTTTATTATGCTTTTAAATTAAACATGTTGCTTCTTTTCTTCTTTTGTCATCAAGGTAAATATATGCCTATTGAATATTTGAGCCATAGTTGCATTCATTTCCAAAAATCATAGAAGACCTCAGCTAGTCCCTTAGTGCTTAAAGTATATGTAAGCAAGACAGATAGATTAGTTGAGGGGAAAAATGTTTCAAACCAAAAATGCTTAGAGAATTCAATATTTTCACATTCCTATAAGAAAACAGTACCTTGCTTAATTATCCACTGGATTTTATATTTCTCCTGAGTATTGAAAAACCTTTCACAGCATCAAAACACATAGTTATAAATACATTTGAAAATATAGCATTTAATTACATATTCTTGAAAGTGTCATATTTTTCTTAATACAAGAAATAAAGGGAAATGTACATTTCTGTTTTATGTTAGGTGGTTGTTTATATATTTAATTTGGATTCATCTCATTTTCTATTACTAACTGATATTAATATTGAAAAAACTTAAGCAAAAGCCTATAGGAAAATAGGATTAGCGTTTTGCACTGCAACCTTCCTTTCACGGAAGCAGCTTCAAAATTGGAAACTGCCTTTATTCATGGAACAAAAGACTGACTGGGCACAGAAAAGGGCTTCAACGTGTTCTTGAAACAAGTGTCTCAGATGATGACATTCTCTCCCTGTTCTGGAATTCAGGTTTGATGCCAAGGATTTTAATTTTCCAAAATGAGCTTGACACATCTTTTCACCAAGACCAGTACCTGTGACTGCTTCTATAGCCCTGTTTTCAGAAAACTAGAAAAGATTTATGGCATTTCCAGATATATTATCATTTTTTAAAATTCCTTTAAGTCTTTGCAATTTCCTTGGCAAGATTTTTCTAGTTCCTAGTTTGTCAGGCTGAGAGCAAATGTGTTGCCCAAAGTCACCCAAGCTGGTTTTGTGCCTAAGGCAAGACTAGCATCTCACTTTCTGTTTCTAGGTTGGTGCCTTCAATCACTACACCAAACTGAACTCTTTTTATGGTCTTCTTTAACTATGAAGTATTCAGTCTAGTGAAATATAACCTGAAATGAAGGTTCTTTTAAAATAATAAATAAAATACACTGAACCAATATATTAAATATATATATTGATAAGGTTTTTTTAAATAGCAAGCTAATATAGAAACTGAAGTGGGTAAAAAAATGCAAAAATGACAGGCAGTGGAAACAGGATTAATGGGTTCTATTATGGCACTTATATTATAAGGGAATAAATAAATGGATAATGAATACCAGGTTAAAAAATTGCTTCTTAAACAAAGGACAAGAAACTACAGTACTTTCTTTTTTGTCTCTTCACCAGGTGAAGAAGGATGATGACATTTTTTTTACAGTGGTGCTAATTATTATTATCTAGTATTTTTTAAAAAAACCAAAACTTCTTCTAGCATGATCCTGATGCACAAAAATCCCAGGACATTTTCCTCCACACATTCTAAGGGATTCAGAATAACTCAGATCTAAGCAAGACATTTGAAAGCCTACCTCTCTGAATCCAGCTTCATCAATCTGCGAACATCAGAGCAAAATTGGACACCGATCACTGTGCAGCTTGGATAAGCCTCACTATCAGAAGAGACAATCAAATTTTTTAATAACAAAGATCTGATATTCCTTGTAGAATGTGCTTGGAAAAATGGGCATCCCAAAACATTGTTCTCACACAAAATCCATATACAAGTCAAGAAGTCACAGCATGCACAGAATATGGTAAAATAGACTGGCTCCAGGAGGATAATTGAGACAAGACTGTATATTCTCCACTTATTTATTCAACCTATATCGGGGGTCCCCAACCCCAGTCAGTGGATCGGTACCGGTCGTTGGGAACCAGGCCGTGCAAGTGGCGGGCGAATACACAAAGCTCCATTTGTGCAAGCGGCGGGCATGTGTGCAAAATCATCCCGTCCTCTGCCAAGTCGCTGCTGCCCAGCTGCTGCTGTTGGTCTGCCAAACCGGAAAGGATGGGGACCGCTGACCTATATAATGAATATATTGTATAACACTGTATACAGTATATTAAGATTGGAAGAAGATGCTGATGACACTAATCTGAAAATGCAAAGAATCTGCAAATACTAGCAATAAAAGTCAAGCAGCACATTGAAAAAAAATGAGACTAAAATTAAATACAAAGAAGTCTAAACTAATGACAACAGGTACAATATCTGGTCTTAGAATTGATTATGAAGAAATGAAAAATGGTACATAGCTTTTGCCTTTTAGAATCAACAGCAAAGTAACAATCAGTCAAGAAATATGCCATAGACTAAATGTGACAGAGAACTATGAAGGAATTGGAAAAGTCATTCAAATACCATGATGTGCCTATACCTACAAAGCTCAGAATAGTGTGAAGCATGATATTCCCTGTGAAATATCATTGGAAAAGTTGAACTTTGATGGAGCAGAACAGCAAAAGCACAACACTTTTGAATCTGATGTTGGAGAAGACTCCTGAGAATACCATTCTTGGCTGTACTATGCACAATAAATTGGCCTTCAAAGAAATCAACCCAGAGTTCTCACTCAAGGCACAAATGTCTAGGTTTGAATTATCCTAATTTGGACACATTAGGCAAAGACCTAGCTATATAAAGAAGGTTAAATGATGCAAGAGGAGGAAGGAAAGTGAAGAAGAGGACAACTAGCAGCAAGAAGGATAGACTCAATCATAGTAATGATGGGTGCACAGTTGGAAGACTTGAAGGACCAGGTTATGGAAAGATCATCATGGAGAAAATATATCTATAGGATCAATAAGAAGCAACACCAACTTGATTGATCATAATTAATCAATCAATGTCCATCAGGAGTCCAAATCAGATTTCAGAAATCAACTCTCACAAGAGAAAATGCTTCATGAAAAGAGAAAATAATAGTTAGTTATTGTAACTGATGTTATTTGAGTTGGCATACTTTTAGAATTAAGAAATAGAACTCCACCTAGGAAAGAAAGGTAGAAGGGGGTGACAAAATCTCAGTTGCTCATTTGATTGACTAATAATTAATTAATTAATCCCACCTCCCCTCCCATCCTGCTTCCGCCCTTCCCATCTTTAATGGGATTATAGTGTTTGACTGGTTTTTAACTTATTTATGTTTTTAGTATATTTATACTTGTTTTTTCATGACTGTAAGCCACCCAGCTGGGCAACCAATAAATTTTATAAATAAATAAATAAAGCCCAAATTATGAATTAGTTATCAATTTTTCGCTGTGGTTTCTATGAGTCACATATATGGGTAGATGGCAAGCTAAATTATTTTCAGGCAGGTTTTGGTAGTCAGAAACAAGGAAGCCATCCTCCCCAAAGTTGCATCCCTATGAGTCAAATGTTCAACCTATAATGCTTCACAGACATTAATAGTTATGCCTGCTCTGTCTAGCAACTGGATGTTCGTGATGGCCTGACACAATTCAGGTGAACTGACTTCTGATGATATCTGGCACAACCCCTATGACAGCAGTCACTCACTGTTCAAAATGAAGCATAATGGAAGTGGGCTTTTTGTGAAAGGCTGATGTCTCATCCAAGTTAAGGTGAATGTTCTATATAGGTCTCTCTCCAATTGGTTAGAGAGATTTGGAAAGAAAATAAAGAGGATGATGTCCTGGTTGAAATGAAATTCTAACACTGTGTTCAGCATTATATGGCCCAAGTGAATTCTAGATATGACGATAAAGCATATAGGTTACTACTGTGTTGCACAGAAATGACCCTGCAGTTTGACAAGTGGTTCAAACATCTTCCCGGTGAGCTTAAAGAATATGAGAAGTTCTGAGCAAGAAGGAATGCTACATGAGCTTAATAATCCTTTCTTATGAGTGTATCTCAATAGCTTCATGTCAAGCTGGAAGAAAGTGTAAAGTGGCATTCTTCAGGGCTCTGTGCTAGGCTGTGTACAGATAGTTCTCAACTTACAACAATTCATTTAGTGACCATTTAAAGTTGTAACAGCACTGAAAAAAGTGCCTTATGATTGTTTTTCACAGTTATGACTTTTGCAGCATCCCTCTAATCCAAATTCAGGTGCTTGGCAACTGGTTCACATTTATGACTGTTGCTGTGTCCCAAAGTCATACGATCCCCTTTTGTGACCTTCTGACAAGCAAAGTCAATGGGGAAGCCAGATTCATTTAACAACCGGGTTACTAATTTATCAACTGCTGTGATTCACTTAACAACTGTGGCAAGAAAGGTCGTAAAATTGGGCAAAACTCACTTTACAAATGTCTCACTTAACAACAGAAATTTGGGACTCAATTGTGGTCGTACATTGAAGACTACCTGTACTGTTCGATGTATTTATTATTGACTCCTCACCATGGTTATCACTAGCTAAAAGAGTTAGAGCACATTTACGAAAAAAGAATAATACTGAGCATGTAGTTGTACTTACTGGAAGTGTTTGACAACAAGAGATGTATCTGTGATCTCTTTGGGAATCCTGGTAACCATCAATGTCCGGGCCAGCTAAAAGACAAGAAGGGAAGAGGTCAGAAGTGGAGACACTTTAATAGGTGTAACATTAGTCAGTTTCCAGTATTTTGCCACTTAAACTCTAGTATTATTTGTACTCGTTATTTTCTACTGGTGTAAGACTACAGACTTAAATTACAGGAGGATACATTTTGCTTAAACATTGCAAGAAAATATTTAGTGGTAAGAAAAATTTAATAATAGAAATGGCTAATTAAAATATTGCTGTGTCACCCTCATCCTGCATGAAGCAGGGCTTGGCATATCTACTCCTATTTTATGACCCTCCAGTGGCAGCTTGCTTATGTGGTAAAAGCTCGCTTCTTTCAGAACAAGAATTGCAGCATTTAAACAATATCAAACCAATATTTGGACAAATTTCTTCCCTGGCCTGATGCAACATATGATAAATGTCTAAATCAGGGGTCCCCAACTCCCAGTTCATGGACTGGCACCGGGCGGCAGCATTCCAGCAACCGGGCTGCACAAACAAGCAAAGCCCCATCTGCGGGATGCAGGCAGCACATAAAACCACGCCCCCTCCAGTCTGCAGAAAAACCTCTCTCCACGTAACCGGTCCCTGGTGCCCAGAAGGTTGGGGACCTCTGGTCTAGATCAGTATTTTTAAGTCTTGACAAATGTAAGATATGTGCACTTCAACTCCCACAATTCCCCAGCCAGAATGCAGTCCACACATCTTAAACTTGCCAAGGTTGAGAAACACTAGCCTAGATGTGCATCTCTGAAAGGGCAGAAAGGAAGGTGTCAATGAGACCACTGCAATTATTACCTTTTCATTTTCCTTATACTCTAATTGGATGGAATGATGAGTCATGCAGAGAACAGTGATGATGAAATAGAGGAGAGCAAAGATACTGTGCAGCCACAAGAGACGGTCACTGTAATAAGAGCAAAAATGAGAGACATTTTCAGATGGGAAAAAATAGATATCTTTATTAGAAAACAATATAACTACTATTTCCTGGAAGATGCCAGCCATTCCTTGTTTTCAGCCATTGATTCAAAGTCTATGGAGATTCTCAGTCATCCAGGCCATGGTTGTCCCAAAGGTGCTTTTTCATGAGGCAAATGGGCTTTCTTGTTTTTCTTTGAAGACGTTTCGCTTCTCATCCAAGAAGCTTCTTCAGCTCTGACTGGATGCCTCCTGAAAAAGTTGCCTCCTGAAAAAGCACCTTTGGGACAACCATGACCTGGATGACTGAGAATCTCCATAGACATTTAGCTATGCACTTTGGGATGAACACCCTTCAATTGGTGTGGGAGTATGAACGGATTTCCAGAAAACATTGCAGACTACAGGAACAGGGCAGAAAACATCCTGCAGCCAGAAGGCTCAACACCCATTTGCACTACTCAGGTAACCCTGAGGACACAGAAAACCTCCATATGGTCCCAATGACTCTCTAAAAGAATGCAAATGACCAGCTGTCTGCAAGGAATATAAATCCTTCCATTCCCCACCAACCAGTCAGAGTTGAAGAAGCTCTTTGGATGAGAAGCAAAACATCTTCAAAGAAAAACAAGGAAGTCCAGTTGCCTCCTGAAAAAGCACCTTTGGGACATTGATTCAAAGCCATCTGTCTATCTGTAATACAGAAAGTTGGCTTCACCGTTGCATGCTGTCACAGAATCATGATTAATGCATGGAAGAAGCCTTAGTCAAGCAATGTCTTAAAGGAAAACAAATCATTTTAATGCTTGCAAGGTAGAACACCAAAACAGAACTTTCATTTGGCATCAATTCAAAATGACACAGCTAAATTATAGAAATCAGTGGTGCAGAATTAGTCAAAGACAATAGTTCTTTTTGAGGGGAAGCTTAGTTGGACAGAAATTTATATTTATTATTTGTAGCTTACAATTGAACATTGTTCATATTGAAGCAATCCACCTGTTCTCACACACACACATATATATATATATACTGGGCTCAGAATGTCAGGCAAACTAAATAAGGATTTATTGAACATTTATTTATTTATGTATTTGCAGAAAGTGCCTCACAATGCCATCATTACAAACAGTGACTAATTCACCTCCGAAGAAATGGAATTACTTACTCTTTGGGAACATTTGCAATTGTGGTTCGGCCAAAATTAGCTGGATTTTTTCCTGAAAGAGAGAAAGGAGACAGAAGTTAGTACATTTTTAACAAAAGGCATTTTATTCTTCTTAGCATAGCATTCTACTCAAAAGTTGTACAGCGATATTTTTAAGCGTTTGAGATACTGGTGCTCTCCACAATTAATTGCCCAGTGAATTTAAAGGGCTACCTACCAAGGAGATCACCAGAGAAGTTGACGGGAAGGATGACAGCCACAGACAGCACACAGGCAATCAAGAGCAACACCAACAGATGCCGCTGGAAAGAGAGGTAGGTTGTGGCATCAACTCCACACTTGCTTTGAATTTCTTCATCTCTGAGAAAGAAAGAGAAAGAAAAAGAAAGAAAAGAAAGAAAGAAAGACATATCAACCCAATGAGATCCCTTTCTACAGTTTTCCCTTCATCCAGAAATGAAAAAAAAAGAACAGCATTGACTATGTAATTTTTCTGCCAGAATAAAATAAACGATATAATCATAGAACAGAGGGATTTTATTTCTGTGCTTTATGTTTTATAAAATTAGGACTATGTGACCCCAAAAAAGTATTAGCAAGGCTCTTTAGTCAGTAAGTATGCCTACCCAAACAGGAATTCCATTCCTTACTATCTTGAATATCCTCAAATCAAAGAAGGCAATAAAACAAACAAAATACCCCACCTAAAACCTTAAAACAAGTTTTTCAAGTGGAATCATTTTAGCATAAAAGGATGGAAAGAGCTTGAGAAGAAGTTCCCCTTAAACAAAACAATAATAAAGTGAAATAGCAATATATAATTGTAATTCAGTGCAAAGTTGCTTTTCTGAACCATCATATATGACACCTCAAATACCGGAACCACCTTACCTAACCGGGTGCTCTCTAGATGTGATGGATTGCAACCCTCCTTATCTCCAGCCAGCAGGAAACCTGCAGTTCAACACATCTAGAGGGCACAAGGTTGGGGAAGGATGGGTCAGAGTGATAAGAAAACAGCATTAATTAATTTGGTTTCAAAAATTTATTCCGTTTACTTCCCCACACACCCATTTGTTTCTTTTCCAGGTTTTCATATGTAAATTATTCTGTTCCACTTATGCATCCATCTGCATTCTTTTTTTAAAAAAAAAGTCTGACTCAATACAGATGAGGAACATACTTCTAAAGAAATGTGTACTGGTTTTCCTCACATATGGCATTTCCAAATATATTTTAGAACATGAACTTCACATGCTTTGGATTTTTTTTTTAAAAAATGACTTGTGTTATAAAATCCAGTCCCATGAGAAATCCAAACAATCACGATGTTTGAATTTGCTTATTAAACACTGAGGTATTGATTAGGAAGAAGAGGGACTAAATTATTTTCCCAACACTAACAATTATTATTATTATTATTATTATTATTATTATTATTGTTGTTGTTGTTGTTGTTGTTGTTGTTATTGTTGTTATTATTGTTATAAATTCTATCTTAGTAAGAGCCATTCTTAGAGATCACCCATCTCACTCTCAGAGCGACTCTGGCAGTGTGTAATTAAAAACATAAAAACCATCTAAACATACTATATCTCAGTAAAAGGCAGCTTTTTGTGATAAACAAACCCTTCCTTTTTCCTTAAAAATAATATCTTTATGACACAACAATAGCTAAATGAGTGGGAAGATTTCTTTTGCTTGAAGAGGTAACTGAGTGGGAGGAGAAATTAATTCCTTATTGAATTTCCAATCTCTTTCTCTCTCTCTCTCTCTTTGGAAAGGAAACAGAATTTTCATAGTGGCTTAGTTGGCTATCTGGAGAATTAGGCTTCAGATTGTAGAGGATAAATTTTTCATCATAAAATGCCACATGCGTCTTAAATTTTGCATGTGCAAAATGCAAAAGGGGTTTTCTGCTACCTAATGATAACCAAGTAATAATAATTTCATTCATTTATTTCTTATTCCATTGATGATTTAGTAGTTTTTTTTATTAATTCTTTGATTAAAACATGGCAATTCAGGGGCTGTTTTCAATTCAAAACATTCAAGAGAGGAGACAGCTCAGGCTAATCAGCCACTCCTTTCCAATTAAAACAAATCAGTGATGCTTTAGTGGTGCTCTGTCCACTAAAACCAGAGCAATGTATATATAAGCCTTAAAGTTGGATTATCTATCAACAACTGCTGTTGCTACACTTGTAAATCTCAGCCATCTGAAGTATAGGGCTCACTTTGCTGAACAATAGGTCCAGCCCCATCAAAGCCATGTTAATCTCCCGTCATAATGAGGCCTGTAATTATATGCAGTGCATATCTATTCAAAATAAGCTTCTGTGAATTCATTGTTGCTGATTCTCAGCAAGAGCAGAAAAAAAATCAGTTTTCATAGACAAGTATCAAACAGTCCATGGCTGAAGATATCATCACAGTACTGTAATCAATCACATGAAAGATGGAGCAGGTTATGAATTTTCATCAATATCACCATAGTGGCATGTACTCACTTCATCTGGTAAATTGAAAGAAGCCAGGAGCAGAATCCCTAGAAAGAAAATTGGAGAATTTCAATGAGCTGGCTAAAATCAATTATAGAAGAAACAACTATTTATGGCTGTTTGTTCCCCTAGATATGGTGTAAGAGTAAAGTAACTGAGCATATTATTAAACTTGTCTTAAACAAGGGTAAAATATTTATGGGTCCCCTTAATGCCAAGTAACATTGGCCATAGGGACATATGGTAGGACAGTGATGGCAAATCTTTTAGAGACTGAATGCCCCAAAACTACCCTGCCCGTGCCTACCCCCGCTCCACCTGCCCCCAAACCCCGTCCCACCCACCCACAGGGCCACCCACTGCCTCCACGGCCCACTGTAGCAGATCGCCCAGGCGACCCTGCAGTGCCATGGTGGCCACGTCCTCCGCCCGTGCACCGCAGCAACATCTGTGCATGACAGGGCACAAGGGCGGAGTCTTGTCCCTGCTGCCATGTCCTAGGCTGTGCTGCTCTGTGCGGGCCGTGCCCACGGATGACTCTCCAGGGGGCTGCTGGTGAGGAGGGGGCCATGGGGGAAGGAGGGGTTGGGGAGAGGAGGGGTTGTGGGGATGACGTGCATGCCCACAGAGAGGGCTCCGAGTGCCGCCTCTGGTACACATGCCATAGGTTCGCCACCATCGTGGTAGGAGTTAAATTTAACATCTAGAAGGACATACATTTCTCAACTCTTGGCTTGGAATCAGAAAGATACAGTAAGGGACTTGGCCATGAGATTAGCATTCAAACTTAACAGGGATATACAATTTTAAAACTGATTTACTGTGTAGGAAATAAGCCATTAGGAAGACAGGTTGTCCAAATGTCTTTTATCTTTTCCAGACATTTTTTGGGGAAAATCTTGTACAAATGATCAAAAGCGGGAGTTTCAGACAGATGGACCATTCACCTCATTGAACTTGGCCATTCTCTTGATCTAACATCATCATCAAATTACTATCAGAAAATAGCAGCTTGATAAGAGCAACAATGACAATCACTTTTGCCTTATTGGGAAATTCACATGTCCATAAAGCCGATAGAGGTCATTCACTCTCAAGGCATCAGCAACCCTGTTTTTGCCTTCCTATAACTAGTTGATGGAAATGACCAATAGGGATAGGAATTCTCTTTGTCATGCAGTTTTTTTTTTCATAAGCCCCCCTCCCCCTCAAAGCCTCTCTCAAACTTACCACATCTTTGTTGTCAGCATCCAAGGGGCTGCTCTCAGAAGGGGACTTTTCTTTTTCACTTTGTTCTCCATAGAAGAGGGATGTCAGGCTTCCCATATATAGGAAGTAAATGGCAGAAAGAAGAAAAGAAGGTGGAATGTGGAAAGAGAGAGAGACAGGAGGAAGAAAGTGTAAATTGGAGATAGATGAAGAAAAGAAAAAGAACAGGGAGAGGAATATTATTCTGACCAGGCCACTTTTAAATATCTACAGTTCCACAACCTCAGGACACCAACAAGCTTCTAAAAGAAGAAGAAGAGTGACAATATTCCAAGAAGATACTGATGCTCAGGAAAGTTCAAGAAAACATATGTCTGCCCTTCCCCAATAAATGTTACAGCTTTGGTGGTCTTGGAAAAAGTGTGAAGGTGCCACTCACTATAGAGAGTATGGAATTGGAAGCCAGAAGAACATATGCAGCCAAAAGCATTTTAATGAACTGAGAACTTTGGGATTGGACATATATCCTTGTTCTTCACTGAATCACTATGCTCTGGATTCTCCATCTTTATTGCTTTGTAACTTTATTATTTCATTTTGCATGAGAAGAGACAATTTGCTTCATATTTTTCGCACCATTTGAGATCATGGTGTCAATGATTATATTGCCCAATTATATTAAAAGCACTAATAATTTAAGATGAAATACAAGATTAATGGTAAATTTGTTTTCCACAGTTTGCTTATGCAGCTCTTATCAATGGAATAAAACTAGTAAGAAGAACAAAATACATGGTACAGAATGGAATTATCCATAGTTCAACTATTCTGAGAGCTCCAACAGATGGTATGACCTGGCCTTGGGTGTGCTAGCAACAATTCTTACTTCTTAGAAAGACTTAAATTCCAGTTTCTTTATTGCTCTCTCCATCTGTTCATTTTTCTGCTCTTAGGAAGCAGAAGCAGATACTACTACTTTAGCATCTTTATGTATATAATGGCCAGGATGGAGAAACTATGATGTTGCTGAATTGTAATTCCCAATAATCCTTTGAATTTTTTTTATCTAGTACAATAGCATCTACAATGAATTTCTGCTTCTTTTTTTAAATTGAAGTTGCTGGGAATTACATTTGGGAACTTCTGCAGGTGAATAGTCCCCCCAATTAGGGTTGACCATATTTATATCTACCAAAGTACAGTATAGCAAACCCCAGCACGGAAACCACAATTTGACAAGTCTGGAGCTCACCAGAACTTTTTTTCTTCTCTGCTGTTGCTCTCTGTTACCCTAGACATTTGATCCATTAGTTAGTGGAAAAAATAAGGGCACCAAACTTGTTACAGCATTGCTATTATGCAGTGATACTCCCTGCATAGCAGCATGACTGAGGTAATGCAAGTTGCCTATGGAAGAACTCATAACCTAAGCATCTCTTTGCTCATAGGTAGCATTTCACAATTATGCTAAGACCAGAATTTAAAACCCTCATTCTGGATTTTATTTCAATATCTACAATCTTTGGCACTTACTTAAACATTATATCCGAAAAAGATGTACCATAAATGGGAGAAGGAATAATACCCAGAGCCAAATCAAATCACCAGTGGAAAAGTAACACACTATTTATACAAACCAAGGGTTAATAAATTTTACATAATAGCATTAAGAATGGCCCGATCAGAATTTCAGCAAGAGTAATTTCAAAACTGTAGCATTCATGAAAAGGACACCCACTACATATTATAAAAATGTGATGCTCTAGATTAAAAGCATGGATATTTGGAAATACTACTGTAAGGTAATGGTGAAGAAACAGAATTTTAAGTATTAGATGCTGACTCTAACTTTCCCATTCACCCAACATTAAACAATCAAATGAAACCCATCATTATCAGACAGACAATATATTATAGATTAACAACCAAGAGAATATTTTAAAGGAGTTTACCCATATTACCAGATGACATTCAAACATTCTATAAAAGAAAGAAAAGCCACTGCAAAATGGGAAGGAAGTGAATTTAAACAATCAGAAGTAGAATGTCTATGGAGATTCTCAGTCATCCAAGTCCTGGTTGTCCCAAAGATGCTTTTTCAAAAGGTAACTGGACTTTGTTTTTTATTTCCTTGAAGACGTTTCGCTTCTTGTCCAAGAAGAACTGAAGAAGCTTCTTGGACGAGAAGTGAAACGTCTTCAAGGAGGAAAAATCCAGTATCCTTTTTAAATAGCACATTTGGGACAATCAGGAGCAGATTCACTCTATTTGACATCTCTACCAAACTAATCCAATCTGCCTCCACCACTCACCCACCTTCTCTGCCTCCTCTGGAAGAGAGAAAATATAACTGACATAAATTTATTTTGTTTTGATCCTGAGTCTTTTTAGTTTCAAGGCCAAGAACTCCTTGAAATACAAACGGAGAAACATTTTCCATCTCGACAAACATTGATTTGGGGAAAGCTAATTGATCCTGGGTGGAATTGATAAGACTCTCAAATGCTCCTTTAAAAGCAGTGGCAATTCTTTTTTTCACAAGAATTCTCAATTCCCCAAGCCTTCGATTCCCATATCACCACTGTATTATTTACTCGTAGGAGTTCCATGTGCTTGGAGGCAAACGGCTGATTAAAAAAAGAACAACAACAGTAATCAGTGGGAGGGAAACCTTCAATTAGTAATAACAAGCAATGTTATTAACTGAGATGGATGGAATGAAGATGAACATCTCGAAAAGGGTCAGAATTAGAAAACTGCATTGGTGTTTTTTCCCCCCAAGAAAGCTGTTTTTATTATTCCTACATTACAGGGAGTAGAAGGAAATCTATTAAGGCTAACATATAGCTACCGCTTAGGGAAATCAATCCTGAGGCAAGTGATCAACTAGACATTTCTTGGCTCATGGTTCATTGATTTATTTCACTAACTAGCTCTCATGTAATCTTCTGCCCAAAAGCATCTTCCACCTTGGTCTCCTCAGTTCTTCTTTACTAAAATATGCTTTTTAAGTTCACCATCTTCCTCCAGACATCTTAACTTTCAAAACTTTGTCTGGTGGCAATCCCAGTTGAACTTTTCAGCACCACATATCAAAGCAATGGATAAGGTAAGAGGTTAGACAACTTTTTTTCCATATTCCATCAGTGGTATAATTTCAGTCAGTTCTTTGGTATTGTCACAGTGTGATTTTGTTGCTGCTCCTGTCTTTACAGTTGTGCAGTTTTACTATATTGATGGAATATAGAAACATTTTGGGTGGAGAAATCTGTACAACAGTGAAACAATCTATTTTTAGAAGCTGTGGGTTCTCCATTGCTGGAGGCTACAAAGAAAAGATGAGACAGCTTCTTCTTGAGGGCAGTTCAACTGGTTTTCATGCACATTAGTAAGAGATGGACTAGATTATTTTCATGGTCCCTTTCAACTACAATTCTGTGATTTCATCTTATGTTGCAAATGTTATGAAGGTGCCTTGGACCGTTCATCTTTTAAAAGTGAAATTTAAGGGAATTTCATTATTTTTTTTCTTCTATTGGAATTAAGGGACATTGCAAAAATCTTTCACAGTCCACTAGTCATGTAGATTTAATGACATTTTTTCTATTATTATGCCAGGTTTCGAAGCTTTAATAATACGGCCCTGGTGCATTTTATTCTTAACAGAGCACCCATCAGTACTGATAATTTTGGACTATGAATAGCAGCCATCTCCAGTCTGATGTCTTCCAAAATGTTTGGACTGTTAGGGGCAGGTAATACTTAAGAGTTGCAGTCATAACACATCTGTTGACATTAAATTGGAAAAACCTGGGAAACAGCAAATTATTCCACTATTTTCTGTGGCCTTCAGCCTTTCCATCCTGTTAGAAAGGTTAGATTTTACCTGTCATTATCCATCAGCAAGGCGAGGCGCCCATAATCCCAAGCTGCTTTCCGAAGGCAGGAAAAGATGAAGAGAAGTACCTGCAGTTGGAGAGAAGCACTATCGGCTTAATGATCCTCTTCACTAAGTAAATACTCCATTCCCTTTTCCCCGTCTGTGACAGAAATTGCAATAAATGATAAAGAAGAACAATAATAGCTGCAGAGTGGGATTTCTGCTTCCATAGATTTTCAGAGCTCACTTAAATACTAAAACTTGGTTTTTGAATTGTTTTCTGGGTTTGCACAACTCACTGAATTGTAACCAGGCTGCGTTCATATGACTTGCTAACTGCATCACACACCAAAGAAACTAACTAAAGTTAACATTAATAAAGATTAACACATGGTACAAACGCATCCATTTAAGTTTTTAACTGATCTAGTTAGATATGTTGTATGTACCCTGCCAATAGAAATTAAAGGTGGGAAAATAAACAGGCAGGAATTTTTATATGCTAATTCTGTCTTGCATAGCATGAATATATGTGGAACTCACACTAAGATACAAATACCCCTCTCAGTTGAATTCTGAACTTGAGTTAAACTGGAGAAAAAGTGTAAAACTGTACAAGGTAAAGATGAACAAGAAATTATGAATTCTCCTGCTTGTTTGTTGAGGTGGTCTCCAAATGAAATATATATACTGGATGCCTGGTTGCAGACCTATCTGGCCTGTGTGGAACACTGGCTGGGGTGAATGTCAGAAGCAACGTTGGAGAGGAAACCTTGCTGTTACCTGACTGAATGAATTGTTCCTATTTACTACCAATGTGAAGTCACACCCCTCTGACTAAAGGCCATACAATGTGTGTTTGCCATAGTTTTAATATTTAGTAGAAAATATCTCTCTTTGTATCGATGGAGATTTTTTTTTTCTCAAGAGTTCAAGAAACATATAAGGAAGAAACCAGTGAGAATTATATTAGGGAATGAAGGAGAAAACTGCCCTATCTCATGCACTGTGTTTGAGGTAAAGATATAAAATTTAAGTTTTTCCAAGTGTCCAAATGTTACTGCTTATCCGTCATTCCCAGCTGTTATGGTTGAACAGATAATAAAGGAAGATAATTTTTCTCCTTCTCACTCACCATCCAAAGGAGGAAGTTGAGAGCAAGTACTGTGGGCACACCACCAAAAGGCAGCCCTTGTAAGACAGTGCTGTGGGAACGGGCGCTGAAGCATTGGTCTTCTGTAATGTTGGTCAGAGTATCCAGATACGTGAGAACATTCAGAGAAACGGAATTCGTATCTTCTGATGAAGATGTGGTCGCAATCATGTTGTCCATCTGTAAATCAGTGGTCTCTTAGGGAGTTCTGCTGTGTAAAATACCTAAGAGTGGATTTAGAGGAAAAGAGTGAAACTAGGTTTCTGAGATTGAAAAGGACCTCTCAAGGGAGACTTTCATATCTGAGGACACGTTTGTCCCTTTATAAGCTTGCTTTCTCCTGTGTCACACAGAGATACAGAGATTGAGAGGTAGAAGACAGTCAGATCCTTGCTAAGCCAGCCTACAGAGATGTCAGGAAGTATTTTAACATTATCTTTCGACGCTAAAGCCAAGATATACTATACTAAGAAAATGAGTTAGATGCCAAAAGTCCAGATGAAGATAAATATATCCAAGAACAGTTCATGGTCCCCAATCCCAAATGTGAGAGTGGAAGGCACATTAAATGTATCAGCCACTGATATTCCCTTATATAGTGTCCAGAAACTGACTCAGCCCAGGCTCGGCTGTTAAGTCACTGTGATTTTGATTCCCAAGGTGTCCGGCACTCTTTTCCCATTAGCCTTTTCTCCATGTAATAGTAGCAATACTTAAGAGCTCAAAATCTGTGGAACATAGAGGGGAGCTAGCAGGACTCCCTATTTCCTACTTAGGACTTCAGATCAATGCCTAAAGATGCAGCAGATATAACTGATTCTGCTTTTCATTTTCATCCTGACATCTCATTCTCCTCCAAGGAAGAATCCAGGGCAATGATGACACCCTCTTATTAAAATTACAAGTAGACCTACCCCATCAATATTTGACGAATTTAAGGTGGAGATCAAGACAGATCTTCTTTACTCTCAGCACTTCAGGCTTTGGAATTAACATCCCCAGAAACGTCTGTTCCCACTTTAATGGCATTTCATCCTACAAAATGAATAAAAATAAAAGGTATATGGGAAAGCAATTTGAACCACAGTGCTGTTTAGGTTATCTCTCTGTTTGAATTTTCAATGTAACTAATATTAATTTTTTTTTGGGGGGGGGGCTTCTAATTAAGACTGCAGTTTTGCAATGTTTTATTAGCTCGCTGGATTTTTAAACCTTTTCCCCTCCTCCATCTTTTGTCTTTGCTATTTTTGATTAAGTTGCCTTTTCAGTTCACTTTTTAGGAAAGGTTGGATCTTTAAAATTAAAAATGAAAACACTGTACTCATATTGCAGAGTAACAGAAAAAATATTAAGTTAGGGAAACTGAAAAACGAGTGAAACACCAAAAAGATAACATTGTGTTTATTAATTATATAAACCAATTTATCCAGAGAGGCAGTGGCTGACTTTCATTAGAAAGCCATCTATTGGGGATACTTTAATTTGGGCTCTTGCACTGAACATTGATGGTCTAAATGGCCCATTGCAGCTCTATTATTTTAATTGCTTCTATTATGTAGATACATTAACATTAAAAGGATTTATATACTATTAAGAAACTCTCAAAGAAACATGGAGAAAAACATTACTTTGTGATATGTTAATGGATAAATCAGCTAGTGGCATATTAGTAAAGTGGGTGAATTAAGAATGAGCACTAAGCCTTGTGGAAATGAAGCACCAGTGGATTTACCATATTAGACAGGAATTTGAGAATTGTGGTCTAAAGCCTACTGGAAGGTGCTTAAGCAAGGTAGATCTAGTCCAGAGAACTGGAAATGTTAGTTTGGGAAAGCACAGGATCAATATGTGGGACTCCAGAGAAATCTTTAAAAAGAAATATGTATTATATACTTACAGCTTTCCTGTAAGATAAGAAATTATAATGGCAGCTTCACTGGGCTTGGGCTACCATTGTAAAGGGAATAAACTGGAAATATAATGCTTCTATACAATGTTCTTTTATTTGCCAACATGCCAGTAATAGTCTATAAGTGGAAGCAAGCAACAATACTCCGACTTGTCTCTTGAGGCATCTGATATTTCAAAATGATTTTAGCTAATGGTATGCCATCCTCTCCCTTCCTGAGTTTTTAGTCTAGTATGCTCTAACTCCCTCAAATAGGATGGTCTAAAAGACAATTGTAAGAAATTTAGCTGATTCTCTGCCAACCTCCCAATGATTAGGAAACCTTTTAATGGCAGAAATCACTAGAAACACAATCCCCAAATGATCAGATAGTCCTGTATCTCTAAACAGATATAATTCAAAACAATGAGTGTGTAACTCATCTCTTCCTCCATTCTTCCTTTTTGCCTCGTGAACATCTATCCCTTCACTAGGTCCAAAAGGACATAACACTTGGCACTGGGTACACTTTCCGTGCTCTGGGCAGCCTCAGAATACAGTATAACAGAATAACACAGTTGGAAGGAACCTTGGAGGTCTTCTAGTCCAGCAAAGCTGGCTGAGGAATTCTGGGAGTTGAAGTCCACAAGACTTAAAATTGCCAAGGTTGAAGACCCCTGTTCTAGTCCAACCCCCTCCTCAAGCAGGACACCCTATACCATTTCAGACAAGTGGCTATCCAGTCTTTTCTTAAAAGCCTTCATCGATGGAGCACCTGCAACTTCTGAAGACAAGCTGTTCCACTGGTTGATTGTTCTAACTGTCAGGAATTTTTTTCTTAATTCTAGGCTGCTTCTCTCCTGTATTAGTTTCAATCAGTGGTGGGATTCAAATATGTGAACAACTGGTTCTCTGTGTGGATGCCACTTCCAGAAGTCCATTCTGGGCCTGGGCAACAAAAAATTAGCTACTGGTTCTGCCGAAGTGGTGCGAACTGGCTGAATCCCACCACTGGTTTCCATCCATTCTTTCTTGTCTTGCTTTCTGGTGCTTTGGAAAATAGGTTGACCCCCTCATCTTTGTGGTAGCCCCTCAAATATTTGAACACTGCTATCATGTCACCCCTAGTCCTTCTTTTCACTAGACTAGCCATGCCCAATTCCTGCCACCGTTCTTCATATGTTTTAGACCCCAGGCCCCTACTCATTTCTGTTGTTCTTCTCTGCACTCTTTCCAGAGTCTCAACATCTTTTTTGTAATGTGGTGACAAAACTGGATGCAGTATTCCAGATGTGGTCTTATATGTGTAGGCTAATTTTTCCCTAGCATGTTGAGAAAGTTGTCTTCTAGTTGCACTAAAAACAAATATAAATCCCCATCTAAGCAGGAACCCCACTCAAAACAGGAAGCTGGAGACACTGGGGATGGGGCTAGCATGCATGATCACATCCTATATCCTATCAGGCAAAATGCCAGCCTGGAGGTACTCAAACTTGGGCATTCACACACAGTTATTTTATCTGAGAGTAGCATATGTTGGTTTATGTTCCCTAGATCTTTCCAGAGAGATGTCCTTACTGTTCAGGAAATTTTTCTAAATAACACTTGTAGTATTTTAGTGCCCTTGACAACCAGACACAAACCTGCTTGGTTTTGTTCTGATGGTTCCTGGAACAAAACCTAGCTTCAAATAGATGGAAATATCCACCTTCAGTTCACTCAAAGCCATTATTACAGAATCAACAAAGCCATTCATTCATTCTTCTATCCACGCCTAAATTAGATCTCCCCCCAAAATATATCTGGTACCTTCCAAATGCATTGGATGATAATGCACACATCTCCCACCCTGACTGGTTGAGAATGGCAGCAAGTGTAATAATCACCCATCTAGAAAGCACACCAGGGACAGCTGTTCTTTGAGAATGAAGGTTCTCCCAGCGGCAGAGACCACTTCCTCCTTATGTTGCAACAGGTTCTACAAAGCAACACTTTTACCTTTCTTAAACGGCAGGTTCACGATACATACCAAGAAGGGTCATTCCACGATTCAGGCTTGGTTCCAGACACCAGGGTCGACTCTTGCCATTGTGGAGTAGTCAGTCTGTGTTATTGTAAAAAGAAAAGAAAAGAAACGAAACATAAAACTAAACCAGTAATTCTAGCAGACCAAAGATGAACAGGCTCTTTGTTTCCAGCTTTATTCTTTGCAAGAATCCAGTGTAACTTGTCTTGCCACACCTCACCTCACCATCCCTTACAAAGTAAACATTTGTGGCTAGAGGTGGAAATCTCTTTGTTCCTTGTGATACCCACTGCTGGAACATGCCAATTATATTGTGTATTTAGTGTTATTATTCTGCAGTGGGGCAGCAGCCAGTCAGAGTTTACTTTCAGTACTGGCCCTTTTTGTTTCTAAGCCACTACATCTATTTCAAAAGACAATGGCCAGGAGTAAATTAAAAAGATTATGGGTTTCCTTCGGTGTTTGGGGAAGCAGAGGAAAGTGAAAGCCAGATGGCTGCCCAGCTGAGCTATACTCCTATCTCCATGTTGTCTGAGAGTGCATTTCCTTGCCCCCCCTCCCTTTGCCTCCCTTCCCTATGTAAACAACCCCATCTGACATTGCCAGTTGCTTTTAATAATTCATCTCCCTTTGGTTACCAAGGAAAATGACTCTGGACCATCAGCAAATAATTAGAGGGGCTCTTAGCAACCAGCAGCTCAGTCCTTCGTTACCCTTCCAAGAGCTAATGACAGAACCATTTTTAGGGTCAGCCAGCATTTGGTCTGTTTCCATGTTTTCCCTTTACAAAAAAGCATCTATCTGTAAGCAGTACAGTAGAACATGCACACAAGAGCTTTCAGTGATGTACACAGTTATCTGACTAATCTCGTTTCTATTTCAAACAGATCAAAAGAGCAAATGTGGTCACTCTCTATTTACCTTACAACAAATCTGTGAGATGAGTTTAAGATCTCACAGAGAGATGACCTTGGAGGTCATCTAGTCCAACCCCCTCCTCAGGCAGGAAACCCTATACCATTTCAGACAAATGGCTGTCCAGTTTCTTCTTAAAAACTTCCAGTGTTGGAGCATTCACAGCTTCCACTGGTTAATTATTAATTAATAATTAATTAATTAATAATATTTTCATCACATTGTCAAACCATCACACTGTTTTCTTAATGCAATCAACTTGTTTCATTCACAAGCAACAAAAGAATCCAGAGGATGATAATTTGCCATTCCCTATGATTTCCAGCACTTTCTTCCTTTTTTCCTCATTACAAAAATCTATTCAGAGGGAAAACACAGAAAGGAATCTAGATACTATGACCTAATATCTAAACTAAAGCTCGGAAGACTAAACCTCTGGTCCTGGTGACCGATCCAGATTGGATCCTGTAATATGTAAACCAGTGTGCCTGGACTGAAGGCCAACTGTTGTGTTGTAGCTTAGCTTCCAATCATATTTGGAAGTATAAGGAATCAAAATAAGTATGTTTGGCACTGTCACATTTTTTGAAATCTACAAGAAGTTTTGAAAACAAATTTGTTGTCTTAGTGTTAGAGATACAGTAAAACCTTAGTATGCCAGTCTTCTATGCTACAGAATTCTGTGCAATATATGCCATTTGGACAACGAAAGCAGAAACCTACCTTATACAAAGCAAGCCTCTGATTATGTAGTTGAGCACTGACTACCCTGAACAAGTGCATCTCATTCTTCTTCAAAAGATTAATAAGATATTCTTTTTCAGTAAACATAAATTAGCTGGTTCTGGACTAACATATGAACATATGAATGGATGTACATTTATATTTTATTCCCATCTGGCATGACTATAAATATGTACACGAACACGTCCGAATGTGATTATTTGCATTCTTTAAAAGAGAGGTCTCCAACTTTTCTGGGCTTGCGGCCTGGAGGGAAGGAGAGCAGCTTCCAAATTGGTGCGTGCGCTTGTGCGCACGCAAGCAGGGCCACATGCACTGGTGCAGCACTAGCAGCACCGTTCGCGCATGGGCATGCGCTGGTGCTGTGCGCATGTGTGAGCGGCCATGCACTCCCCACGGTGGCTAGCAGTCCCATTCACACATGCGGGTGCTAGTGCAAGTGGGGGGGGGAATGCATATCCAGGTGTGCGCGCACTGGCCAGCCATTTCTGTGGCTCACTGGCTAAGAGTCCTGCTTTAAAAGCCATTTCAATTTTGTTTTGCATAGGTATTGCTTTATTTACACAGTTCTATTCGTAAACCTTCCTTCCCTGCAGTCATATGAAAAGATATACTCTAAACCAATGAAGAGGCAGCTTGTAGTTTAAAATGCAAAAGTGAAGATTATTTAGGAACCCTAAATATCAAATATTCAACTAGTCATCTCTTCTGTTACATCCTTTTCCACTGCTCTTGCAGCTCCTGAATCCTGCGTATCTGAAAGGTCTGCCTCTGTTTTTGCAGAAGCAGAGCGTGCAACTTAAGATTTGCCTCCAATTACTCGCTAGACAAATGAATGATGTTTATCCATATACTGTATGTGACTTTGGCTGCTAAGAGGACAAGGTCAGTGGAGATCTCCCAGGAAAGAGAGAGGAAAGCTGTAGTCAGATGCACTGAATCAGCACACCAGGCGAATCAATACTGAGCATCAACTAGGAAAGACCCATCAATAAATGCTTCTGTACACAAACATCAGTTCATGACTTCTGGGTCAATTGGGAAGAAAAGATAGAGCTGATCTCCAATGTCATGGGGCCAGTACCCTTTTATCTTTCAAATGAGAGGAAGGGAATGAGAGGCTAAACTCCTTTCAGAAGTAAAACTGGCTTGCATTATGTGAACTGCACATCTCCCCCTCCTCCTCCTCCTCCTCCACCTCTTAGTAAATTTAGTACATTTTCATGTTTTATTCTTCTGTTTAAAATTAACATTTTCTCTCAAACTGGCTAGTTTATTGCCAAATTAACAGGGGACAATCAGGTTAATTTAAAATAGTGGCAGCGGAATCTGTCCAAATGCTTTGAACTATAAAACCTTATCATTTTATTTTGTGCCAGGAAGTATAGAAGGAAAACATCAAAATGATTATCTGATTTGGGAATTCCAATTAAGAAGAACCTATTCTATAATTCCATCTGCTGCAGCTTAAAGTTGAAGAAAGACACAAAACTTCTCTGAAAAAGAAAGACTACATGCAGATTATGTGGAAAAAAGAAATCCTTAAGGTTGTTTCTTTTTTCTGGAAAATAATATATAATTTCTGAAGTCCTTTGATTCTGCTATTTGTTTCCCACCATTAACAATTAATGCATGACATATGATTGTATTTAATATGTACAAAATTGAAAAAGTCCTGCAAAGGAATATTTGTTTTCATCCTTTCTCACTTAGTTTCTAGTTTCAGAATCTCCCTTCTGTTTTGCTTATTTTATATATCTATTCTATAATCTTTTATTGTTAAACAAATCAAGGCATCCTAAAACAAAATGAATTAAGCATTTAGCATTTTATGAAAGAACATGTGTATGGAAATCTGAAATGATGAACAAAAAAGAGCACTAAATCTATCTAGAAAGAAAGTTTAATATGTTTTCATTTAAGCTTTCCCAGCCTGGTACACTTCAGGTGTGTGCGTGTGTGTGTGTGTGTGTGTGTGTGTAAATCCAAAGTTGTTAGCCAATATACTTCTGCTCACCAATATAAGGCCCTGTGCTTATTGAAGCATTCCAGAGTGAGAATAGTAATCAAAGGCTGAAGTGCTTCAAACAGGGGATTATGTAAAGTGAGATAGGGAGTTAAGAAATATGAAATATAAATAAATAAAATTATCCAACACGCAAGTCCCAATTTTATTGGAAGATAACGTAGAAGAGTTTGAATAAAAAATTGCAATACCTAGGATAATAGAAAGGTACTTGTACATTCCTAAGACAGCAGAGACCCATCAAATGTATTAAAAAAGGATACGGTAGGGGCTTTGAGTAAAACCTGCAAAAAGATGCCCAAGAAACAAATGGAGCATTACCCATTTTAGATCCCAAAATACACTATTTTGGGTTCAATAGGGACTGAAACTTTGTTAGAACTACACAACGGTAATTCTCAAGACTCAGTCCTCCTCTGTGTTTTTCTAAAAAGAAGATTAATCACAGAGTATTTCAACAGAAAAAAAGAAGCCTGTGTAATCTAAGGCGCTTTGAGAAGAAACAGCGTTCTGCTTAATTACGTTAAATGTTTCCTTTTTGTAATGACCAAAAAATTGGTTCCAGCATTTAAATCTCACCTCCTCATTTCTCGCCCTCAGCCTCTACACAGGTCTGCTTTTCTTAAGAAGATGTTCCCTAGCTTTAACATTCATGTAGAAAATATCCCATGTTACTGATATAAGGCTCGTTATCTTGCATGGATGAAAAGAAGCAAGCATGTGAGATAAGGCAGCTTCCTTTAAAAGTTGGTAACAATAAATGATAATCAGAAAATGAATGTGTTTTCATTTCCATGCATTTAGAAGAAAGCAGTCCTCTTTTCTGGAAATTTCTGCTTACTACTACTGATACAATACATCTGTGCACTGTATTTGACTAAGCTACAAGAACCATTTTAGAAGTTTTCTAGACTATGCGTAGTTTCTCACTCTTATTCGCAAATATTTCTTTTTATCTTGATTCTTGCAATAAATAATGCAATTCCACGTAGTGTTTTTACAAAGAATCCAAGTATTTTGGGCAAGATTTTTGGTACACATATCATAAGTAAAATGGTACATTTGAGACACAGGACGTGCCAAGGTACATATAAAGTCTTCTCTCTTGGGTTTTGCTGTGCATCGGCTTCTATCCTACTGAATACGCAAAACTTCAGAATGGGGCGATGGCAAGCTGGTACTATGCCATAGCCAGCCCCATTGGCTTTGTCACAATGCCACAACCATTTCAGTATCCACAAGTCAACCCAATTTTCCCCAGTGGAATTTCTCTAAATATGTTTTAATTACAATTCCAATCAATGCCCCTCAGCCGAAACAAACTTGCTTACTTAAATAATTTCTCCTTTACTATCCAATATCCCTCAGCTTTCCACCTGCAGTATTCTAGCAAAGTACCTGAGTCTTTATTCTGTTCATTTTCCCAATTCCACAAACACAAGATCTTTCTAGATTAAATAGCACTAGAGTACCAGCTGAGAATCCAGTTATCAATTGACACCGATTTTGACACTAATCTTTCCATCGGATAAAATCTTTCTGTCTTCTGTAAAATAATTTTGCAATAACAGATACTGACATCTCAGGTGCAACCAAAGCGGCACAGAACTAGAACAAAATATGTCTTCCCTTGACTCTGCAGATATCATATTGCTGGCCTCAACAATGCTTTCCACATATGTTGGTCTTCTTACAGGATTTGAGTGAAATGAAACCCAATATCTCCAGAGAGAAGAAAATTATGGAAAACTGCATCATATTCTTTCAGCAACATAAATGTCACTAGAGCACATGCTGAGACTAGGAAAAGCTATCCAATTTTTAAATGGAGAGATTTTTGAAGATAGAATTTCTTGGCAGATCAATACTGCTTAATTTTCACATACCCTTATACCTTTACTGCAAATTGCAAAAACAGTAGAAGGAGAGTATAGCCCTACCACCTTCCTTACGAGTTCAACATTATGCATATATTAATGTCTGTGAGAACTTACTGGCATTTCAATATTCCCTTTATACATCTGAACCTAGGCATACATTCCCTGGTTATCATGACTGACTAGTGGAATGCAGCTAACTATCTGTAATTCATATTGTTTTGTATTACAGATGATCTCAATAATTTCAGTACTTCATTTCTTGTTTGTTACTGAAATGTGTCACTTCAATAATAAAAGGCATGCTTGCCAGAAAGACCTATCTGCCTGTATTTGAAAAAAAAAAATTCACAGGACAAAGCAGTTCCTAGACCATCAGATAAGAAGACCCAAAGTTTATCCATCTGCAGTTCTCTGAAAATCATTCTCTCCATGTGCTTGTCAAATCTGCCACTGCTGAGCATGCTTGTTTTAATGCTATGTCATCCTTTGGAAAAAGCCAGACCTCATTATAGCAATATAAGTACAGATTGTTTTCACATCATTATGCTTTCATCTTTGCAGGCATAGTTCATTTCAGTGCAGTTACAGTACACACAGAGAGCAGCAAGGGCACCAATACCATCCACGCTATTGGAAAAATAAGGGATACTAGATCTGAGGCAGTTCCCACTGCACAATTATGGTGTCTAGTGAACAGATAGCTGCTACTGAATGCTTCAGTCAAACTGACACCTCTGCAAATGGAGAGCTGCTCCACAAGGGACATTTATGTCAATTTAGCATTGGTACATGCAGCCCACTTCTTACAGCATCCTCCTCCTTGTGTGGCTGAGACGATTATTTTTCCCAATGTGTCTGAGTTGCAGCTTAAAGCGCCAAATTTCCATTTTGCAATTTGCAATGCTGCAGTTCTGCAGAGCTTGGGTAAATCATATCCCATTCATGAAAAACTGGAGCCTTACCCCATCTGAACATGAAGTCCTCTGGTGGATTTCAGAGCAACCTCAGTGAATTAGCCTTCCAGTCAATTTCTAGTCAATTTCACAATCCCTGCCTGTAAAAAAAAACTGCTGGGCTTGATTGTCTGTGTTTGTATGAACACAATGTGCTAAACGCTTGCTTTATCTTACCTCTCAGCTCAAGTGGGCCATTGCTATCTCTCTGCACTATTCCCATGGATATTCCACCCTACAACTTACATTATTATAGCCTCTTCTTGCATAACTACAGGGACATGACACCAACAGAGCTTCCAATAAGGTCTGAGGTCTATACAACTTGTCACCCCAGAGTTTTTATTGCAACCGATGTCTATACACATCCTGCATGTACTAGATACACCCCAATGAGATAAAATGAAGACTAATACTTCCCCCCCCCCACATTTGTTTTTATTTTGTCAGGAGCTGCTATAGCTGAAGTGTGAGGCACTGACCTTAGGTAGCCGCCTTCTCTTAGGCTGGAGGCAGCCTGGACTGGTTAATGGTTTACTCTGTCTATTCTCCGCATTCTGAGCTCAGCAGAAACTGACTTCCAAATACTTTAAGAGGATGAGACTGGAAACTGTGCCATCTGGAAATGCCAGAATATTAATGTCTAATGACTTTAGCTCTCTTGGGAGTTTTCTTTAAAGCAAAGATGTTGGAAAAGGAGATGTGGATGTTCTCTGATTAGAGGAGATGAGATCGTCAGACAGGGTCCATCTCCCTACAAATAAAAAACTCCATCTTGTTTTAGGGAAGATTACAGTACACAAAACAGGAGGCCATTCTGAATGTCGGCAATAATGGCTTATCTAAAAGGTTTATCTTACAGGTTTCATATTTCCCATAGTACTCCTAAATTCCACCACTAGATCCTAAATGAAATAAAAAGATAATTTGAAACATTTATATGGGCAAAATCTTGTATGATTGCCAAATATCACTAGAATTCACTCTTTTTTTTTACAGCTTTATAGTATCTCAGGAGCAAGGTATCCAAAACTGACAATGTTATTAGATTGGTTTAAAATAACTCCACATTAACTAAAAGATCAATAAGCATTTTAAAATAATGTCAGTGCCTACAAATCAACTCTCACAAGTTCAGATAAAGACAAGGAAGGTTTCTATGAGGACCTGGACCAGATTATTCGAACAACTCGTCAGTGAGCAATTCATCATTCTGGAAGATTTCACTGCCAGAGTTGGGACAGACAATAAAAACCGAGACGGAGTCCTTGGGAAACTGAGGATAGGTGAACTGAGTAGCGTGGCTTACTGCTTCTGAGCAAATATGCCAAGTACAACCTATGCATTATTAACATGATGGTCAGACAAGTACAAAACTACCTGGATGCATTCCAGGTCCAAACACTGGCACCTTCTTGACTAGTATGACAGCATGATATTAAAGATGGCACCATTACCTGCACCATATGAAGTGTTGAGTGCTGGACTGACCACAGACTGGTCTGGTTGGTCTGAAGCCTAAATATAGCTCCTTTACATTATAACCAACCAAGAAAGTCATTCAACATCAGCAGATTATAAGAGCCAGATCAAGCCCAATGTTTCCAAGAAGTCCTTAATGAAAAACTCTCCAGCAATTTACTGCTTGTAAGAACGTCTATGGAGATTCTCAATCATCCAGGTCATAGTTATCTCAAAGGTGCTTTTCTTTCCACAAGAACTTTCTTGTTTTGCTTCTCATCCAAGAAGCTTTTTCATCTCTGACTGTATGGAAGGGAAAAAAAAGCACCTTTGGGATGCTTGTAAGAACCTGTTTTGAAAAGTTTAAAGATATCATATAGACTAATGTTCCCCAACCTTTCTGGGTTGGTGGTTCAGCATGGGGAGAAGGGGGTAAGAGGGGATGATTTTGTGTGAGGGGCAGGCATGTGTGTGCACACAGTTTCATTTGTGTGAGTGGCGGGCACATGTGCCCACCACTTGTGCGAGTGCCCGCCGTTCATGCGAGTGGGGCTGTGTGCATGCGTACGCTCCAGCCTGCCACTCATGTGGCCCATTGTGAACAGGCCATGGCAGTGGGCCACTGCCCACAGGTTGGGGATCTCTGATATAGACTGCAACAACTGTACTTGGACTGAAAACCCAGGCACATGAAAATAGTTTGATGAAAAACACAAGACCATTTCAGCAGCCCTTCAGGCCAAGAACAAGCCCTCTGCAGAACGATCCATCATCTGTTTCAAAGAAAGACAACTTTAAACATCTGCAGCCCAAAGTGCAGATAAAACTGCAAAAAATGCAGGACAAGTGATGGCAAGGAAAGCTGAGCAGGTAGAACATTATGCAGACATGCATGCCATCAGAAAGTGTGTCAGTGTCATGAAGTCAGCTTATGGTCTTTCTAAATCGCAATGCTCCCCTTTGCTGTCAACTGATGGGTTGAGCATGATCCAACATTAGGAAGGGCTGAAAAACCACTGAGCTGAACATTTTTTCAATCTACCCAATGGGCTGTCCAGAGTTGATCCTGATGTTTCACAGCAGATTCCTCAGCTACCTGCCTTAGATGCCCTAGACATGCCTCCCTCTACTGATGAGATCAAGGAAGTGATCTCATAGGTGAACTCAAAGCAACAGGGCAGGATGGTGTTCCTGCTGAGATCTACAAACCATCAGACCAAAACACAAGCAATTCCACGACACTCAAAAGGTATTTTCCCCATTCATGATCTACAGATGACCCATGAGCCATTGCCACATGAAATACTCATGCGCAAAACTTCATCCCATCTTCCTAATCTTCCATACATTCATGGAAGGACAAAGTAGCCAGAAAGTATTCTTTTTATGGAAAAACACTCAAAGGCCATCTATGCATCTCTAGGTAGGTCTTAGAGGGCTCTTGTCTAAATCCCTGAGCCATAGTCATAGCCTCAGCAGATGATACTAAACTCAGATAATTCAGAGGTTTACTTGGTATAAGGCCCTTATATCTAAGCTCTTAATTTTGTTGAGGAACGTCACTGCCTCAATTTTAGACTGAAAAGAAAATCCCCACCTTCAGCTCTAAAAAGTTCATAGATTTCAAGCAAGAACTTCTAAAAGACTGCTATATTGGATATTCAGGATAAAAGGTGGCTGAAGACTTAACAAGAGTTAACTTCTGGTTTTCAGCAAATCTGCAAAGGCAGAAGTCAGAGGAAATTCTTAAGGTTGGCTGCTTACAGGTTGCTGAAGGAAATCCTCACACTAAATGGCACTGCAGATGGGAGGACTTAAATCATATTTTCTCCTCCTCAACTTAGCCTCCCATCCCTTCCAAAACCCAAGTCTTGTGCTGTTTGCCACTTACCTGACAAGGATCAGTGGGTCAGTCCTGAACACATGCTATTGAGAATAACAGGGGATGAAGGAGAGATGCCTGGGTCTTGATTAGCAAAAGGTTTCCTTTATGTCTCTGGCTCAGTGGGCTTCAGTAAAGTTACCACAATCAGTGTTGGAGCCGACTCTTGCCTTTAAACAGCAGTAATGTCTTGAGGGCCCTGGAGACAGAAGAGGAATGATGTGTCAGTATTGCTGAGGCTGCTACGTTACAGACGCAGCTTATGATGCATGAAGAATTGGCTGCTTTGTTTTCCCTCCCTCTTGCTTATCTGGAAATGGGGAGCTCCCTTGTGCTGGCAGGCAGCAGAGAGTTGGATTGGCCAACTGTCTGGAAAGGCCTGTTTCCTTTTCTAATCACAATGTATAACCCCAGTCAAGGAAGCAGAGAGGGACCCCACCCTGGAAAAACATCCCGAGAAACAGTCAGTCTGCTCTGTCACTTTAGCTGGCTTTTTGCCAAAGGCAAATGCTCTCTCTTTGCATTTTATACACCACGCTCAGCTGAAATGCATAAGTCAGAATAAGCGATCAAAATGCAAGTTAACACAAATGCCTGGATATAAAGACTCAACTGCCCAATCCTCTTCTTCCTGCAGTAATTCTGTCCAGTTTGGTTCAGTTGGTTAGTTATTCTTGTAAAAGAAAGATTATTGGTTAGGGCAAGCAAGTATAGAAGAATGGGTGGAGATTGATACCCAGAGTCTCTAGGCCTGGGGATAATGAAATATCCATCATTAGCCCAAAAATCTGGAAGATACTAGTTTTGTTCTGCATGACTCTGATTCACTGGAGAAAAAAGATGGTACACATATCTGGTCTCAAGCCTAGACATAAGATCCACCTGGATTTCGGATCTCAGTTTCACAGGAATGTAAAACCAAGATGGAAAGAAAGAGACTAACCACATGATAATGATTCAGGCAGGACCCTTCCCTAGTGTAGACTACTTGTAATTTCATGGTTGTCTCTTTTCAATTAAGTAGCCCTGACTACTGAATAAGGGCACGTTTAAATCTAATATTTA